GTGGGCTTTGTTGCTTCTGAGCTTGATGGCCGCTTGATTACCTTCAAGCCTTTAAGACCCCAGCTTGTATAACTCTTATCACAATCCATCCAGCCATCCATCCATCCAGCCATACATTGTGTCAAGCACAATTGTACATTCGTTGCCATCAACATTCTCAAAACATTTGCTTTCTGCTTGGGCCCTTGGTATTTTTTCGCCTCCCTACCCGTTCCCCCCCTCTTGAACCCTTGATAATTATGTTATTATTATTTTGTCAAGTCTTACAGTGTAAGACACTTTGTAATTTACGAAGAACCTTCAGATAGTATCATAATTACTCTCTAACTTATTCGATATGCGTAGTCCCTTTCTAAAGAAGAGAAGCCTGTTTATAGAGAAGAGGCAGCCGGGAAGAATATTGCCCCATCTGCAAAGGAAGTCAGAGCCACTCCATTTGATTTTTATAGCTTCTTGGGTAGGATTATATAAAATGACAATGGAACATAATTAAGTTTATGTTTCAGCCTGATGGTGTATGAGTGCTTAAAATGGAAATGAGTGATACATAGCCTTCAGTATTATTCCATTGAAGAGCATTACTACTGAAAAATAAAACACTCTGTAGAAAACTCTGATTGCATAATGTAATTAAAGTCTTACCTTGTAGGCCTCTCCAGGCTTCTATCCACGGAGGTCTGATACAAGGAGGCCTATAAAGAGAGAAAAAGAGTCCCATGAGGATTTTTACCATGGAAAAATTTTATTTTGTAGGTGAACAGTAAAATGGGTATCCCCCAAAGAGATCATAACCACTGAGTGGAAATAGCATTCATTAAGATTATGAAAACACGATGCATTGTTGTAGATGATGATGATGATGTAGCTGGAGGTTCATATTATTCAGTGTTGCTATTAAGCCATTTCTGAATTTCTGCAATATTTCTAGGTAAGTGTGCAAGTTACCTATAACCACCAGGCCAGCCTGTTAATTAGGTGAATGCAACCTGACTTTACTTTCTTCTTAAATACTTTTTTTTCTAATGATGGGAAGGTTTTCAAAAGTTCATGAGAAAATGAACACAAATGGACTTTTTCCAGAAACTTTTTTAACCGCCCCCCACCCCCACCACGTATGGCATTGCCGTTCTGCCGTGTGACTCAAATGATCCCGAATCGGAAGATGACACCAAGGGCGGGGTGTGCTCAGTCAGTCATGTTTTCTCAGGGTCACTGAAGCAAAGTTAAAGTGATGCTACAATACTAACGTCAGGGTCA